TCCTTTTGTACTCAAACTTGTAGGAACAGAAATTGGCACTTGCTGACTTTATTTTCCACCCTGGATCTGGGGCCCACAAGATCTCCCACTCTCCCTCCAATTTCTGCCCAACTGGTAAGGGATTTGCTGCTGATCCCAGAATTGAACTCATTCGTTCTACTTCAGAATATGTGGATTTGTTTTCCTCTTGCAGCTCTGCCAAAAGCCTAAATAACAATCACAACATCTTCTTAAGGAAGATAAGATTTATTGCTCTTGATCTAAAGGTTGCTTGTTTCAACTGGAATACAACTTCATCCTTGGTGCTGAACAATCCTGCAGATTGGCGAAGCCTTGACAAAATCACCTTCATCCTGATGTTTGGCTGGACAGTGCCATTCCTCAGCAATAGGCAGCCAAGAAGTCACAGCCTGAGGCCACAGCAGTAAGATAGCCCATGGAGCTTTCAATGTTCACAAAATAAACAATGTGTACTGTAGTCAAGGTCATTTTCTAACTTTTGCATAATAGGCAGGATGTCAGTCAAAATATATCATAGCCAGTTACTGGTGTCATTCAGACCTCTGACATCCTTGTGCTAACAACTGCCACAAACTTGGGAAAGGGAGGACAGTGCTACTGGCTAGAAAAGTCTGAGTTTTGCTGAGTATTGCCACGATGACCAGTGTCCCAAATGGACACGAGAGAGAAAGTAATGTCTCAGCCTACTTTTGGTGGAAACAGAGATTGGACAGGAACAGCTTTCGTTGAAAGGTGGAGTCCCAAGGCAGTGAGAGTTACTGGAAAGATAAGTGTGACCAGGGAAGACCGAAAGCCACAGTGAGGTATTACCCTGCCCACTGCGTCACCACAAGCCTCAAAGACACACAGCTGGTGCTCAGCAGGTGCTCAGCTACCTGGGATATCTCCAGACAGGCTGTTCCGAGAAACAGCTCACAGCTTCTTTAAGGAGAGAAAGGGGATTTCTCTGCATGGCTCCTTCCCATCTCCTATCTCTTGCATTTACCACATAAGGAATTACTTTCCCCTAAGTTCTAAGTCAGGTCACCCAGTACCCTCCATAGCTCCTGAGAAGCTCATCCCAAGGCTGCAGTGAGCGGCATGGAAGTAGCTGGAGGCACTTAGGACCCCAGCACACAATGACAGAATCATCTACTGATGCCTTTGTCAGAATACATTCCCATTATTAAGCAACACACGGCAGTGTGTATGTACAGCCATCTACACAGATGCGCGTGTGTGTGAGAGAGTGTGCGAGAGTGTTTGGTGGATCCTAAGGCCTTCAAAAGACCTTAAATCTACCCTAACCTTAGCACTAAATGCAATGAGTACTTTCAGCATTTACTTAGATTGACCTCTTTGCAATACTTCACCCGGTTGTTACTACCTCCTCCTTAGTCCTCGCTACCTTTTAATCCTTTTCTCTTCCATGTATCACCTGCACTCCTCTTCCCAGGGCCAAACTGGTCAAAAAAAGGAAAGTGAAAAGCAGGCAAGTTGAGATAGTGTGGTGAGCATGCCAATCGGAAATATTCCCAACTTGCCTCCTGCCAAAACTGACACCCTCATCATCTGCCATTTGGAATTCAGCATGGCTGTCTCTTTGTTATCATCTCCAAGTGTGCTTTATCACCTCACATGAGTGAGAACAGGATGGTAGGTGAACAGCCCTCTAACCATGTCCTACAAGGTGTCTGGATTTGCTTTTAGGATGTAGGAACTGCGGGAGTTAAAATCCCCTGGACTACTTTCCTGTGGCTTCTGTAGCAAATTACCACACACTGTGTTGCTTAAAACAACCAAAGTTTATTCACTTGTGGTTCTGAAGGCTAGAAGTCCAAAGTCAGGAGTGAGCCAGCCTCTTCCTCAGAGAGTTCTGTAGGACACTCCTGCCTTGCCCCTTCCAGCTTCTGGAGGCTCTGGGCATTTCCCGGCTTGCTAGGCTGGCGACTGCATCATTCAGTCTCCTCAGTGTCTCCACAAGGCCTTATTCTCTCTTTTCTCTTCTGAATCAGATCTTCCTCTCTTTCTCTCATAAGACATTTGTCATTGGATTGAAAGCCCACATGGATAATCCAAGAGGATCTCTTCATTTCAAGATTCTTAACTTAACAATTGCAAAGATCATTTTTCCAAATACGTATAAGCTAACACCCACTGGTTCCAGTAGTTAGGATGTGAACCTATGTTTGGGGACACCATCATTTGCAGTGATACGATGCCCACATACATAAAGACAGCCAGTCTTCCAAGCCAATTCATACCCATAGTGTTAGTCCAAGTCTGAGTCAATTACTAAGCTGGTTAGGATTTCCAAGAAAAACAAATGGCAATCTGTTTGAGAATTGGCAATCTTATTTGAGAATTTAGTCAAAGGATATATAACATAATACAGTCCCTCTGCAGGCAGTAGAAACACTATTGAACACTAGAATTTAGGTGCTTTATTTACATACCACTTGCAAGCTATTTCAGTATGTCTACGCTATTGGAAAGGTGATGTCTTTTGAAATGCTAACATTTTACCTTAGAACTAACACAACCCTTTGCCTTTCTGTACATTACATTTCAAAAGAAAGTGGATATTATGCTGTCTCGTACCAAATGCCCTTAAGATTTTATTTTTGAAACCATAAAACATCTTTTCCTCTGGCTTTAATCCAATTTCTTTGAGTGATGTGTAAACCTTAAAATTGTTTGTAGCTCTCTGTCGGTATCCATTACTTTTGAAACGACCCCTACATTTCACATTCTATATAACATTTTCCTGTCTTCCCTGGGAATGGCAGGAGATCCTTGGTAGACACACTAATTGCTTGTGACACTTGCAGTCTTTTCGAATGCTGGTATTTTCCTGGTGAATCAGTAAATACTCTGTTATTTGGAAAGGACATTGTTGCAAAACACTTTTCCTGAATCTTGCTTTCTACTTAAACATCATAATCACACAGGGCCGAGTTATGGCTTCACTGCTGCCCTGTGAATATCGCACTCCGTATGGATTTGGTGTTACAATGGCTTCAGCAACAATTCAATCCATCCAAGTACCGGTAATGATTTCTTTTGTGAGCATATTAATCTCACAGAAACTAAGCATTACATTTTAGACAAGAAACCTTGCAAAAGACCTGTCAGATCTATATTTTTTAACTGTTTTATACTACATTCTTCCAAAACACACCCCATTCCATTGACCTTTAAGCACATTAACCTCCGCAGGAAAATTTCTTGAATCCATATTATGTGCATAAAGTCCCTAATTCAGCATTTAGTGAAGAAAATAGATTGTAGTTGGTGCTAAAATGTCAGCAAAACATCCACATCTGACAGTCGATTTGCTGAATGACAAAAAACAGCATTAAATTTGTCTTTAAAAATACAAGGTAGCTAAAACCGCTAGTAGAACCAAGGCAAATGCTTAAATAATAGGCACACTTTATCATACCAATAACAAATTTACAAACCGTCCCAAATATAAATCATAGATTGCAATCTGTCACCAGCATCAAGCACTATTAAATCACTCAACATTATCTTCCCCAATCTGCCTGCAGTGTTCTAGATTTTTCTTCCCCTCATGAGATAAATAACCTTATTTCCCCAAACTCCTCTTCTGGTCTTCCCTTTTGCCCCTCCCCACTAGTAAATCTTAGGTCCTTTTGGAGTAGCCACACACTCCGATGTCTTTCCACCCCTAAGTCTTCCCCAGTCCCTCTTCCACCCTTTGTGCTTTACTGTAAAACATGTATCTGTCCTTTTATTCCATTCTTTACAGTGTACTGTTTCTGAGTCCAAATGACTATAATCATGACCAAGAAGCATAAGAGTAGCATTCCCGACACCATTAAATCAAGGGAAAGGGAAAATGCCACACATGTACAAATGAAATAGAGCATAAATAAGGAGCCAGCTCCTGGACCACAGTGGCTCTTTAAAACTCCACAGTGTGCTCCTCTGTCCTAGCATTAGATGCTGCTCTGGTTTGACTAATTTAAGTACTGACATCCAATATCAAATTCAAAACTACTTGCTCATTTTTCAGTCTTCTGTTTTAATTACTAGCACTGCACAAGTATTGTTTTCTATTTTTTAAAAATTTTAAATAGATAGCAACTTGCTTCACTGCACTAATAAGACTTTGTAAGCTTTCCAATTAGTTCCATCTCATTTAGAATCTTTTTCGTATCAATATACTTGATCAAGATGCAAATGAATGCCTCGACTGTGACCCATTATAAATTGATGACTCTGTTATTCAGTTTTCCCGTAAACAAACCTCTTATATTCAATGCTTTATCTAAGAGTAAAAATTGTTCACTTCTGTATCTAGTATTTTTCCTGCCAAAATAGTGAGAGAACGAAGGATTTTAAAAGAAGGTCCAGAATTTTATAAGCCTCTTTCAACTTGTTTTCTTTACATTTCCTTGCAAGCAAAATAAACACTGTAAGTTTACTTAAAATACAATGCTTAACCAGAAACCTTGGGATTTGGAGACAGTGGTGGAAAATATATGACAGTGGTTAATCCTATGAACCTAAAATTTTCCACTTTATAAACCATATCTAGATTCAGGATTTTTTTTATTTGTTGATGCATTTACTCATTTTCCAATTGAGCAGTGAGTGCTGGAGACTCTCAGTGAGTGTGTCTGCTTGTTTCCCCAGTGTCCCTAGTTCCTAGAAGTGGCGTAACACTGATGTCCAAAAAACCATTGTTGAATGAGTAAAATATTGAATTAATCCATTCATTATTTTGATTATTAGGTTCAAACTGGTTTTGCCTTTGTGTATTCATCATTTAAAAAAGAAAAGCTGACAATAAACATATGGTAGATTCAGAATTCTAGAATTTAGAGCTAGAAGGAACCCTAGAAATTACTTTATTCAAAAAATTAATTTTGTAGCAGAACTAGGGAAATCAGGGATTTTGAAAATTTTATAAGGAACTGGAGGTTCTAATAGGCTAATACAATACCCAAAGCCCATCTCACCTAGGCAGTGGCCATGCTGCTGTCGTAGTCTTAAATCATTGGTGTGTTTTAGAATTAGGCATCCATGTGGGAGACCGAGCAGAGTGTACCCTGCCCATAGAAGGGTCTGTTGATGTGATCTTATTGGCTTCCCAGAATACATGCAGATCTCAATTAACAAACTAAAACCAAAAAAAAATGAGATAAAGAACTGTACAATGGAAGTAGGTGACGTTCTCTTACATTATATTTATTTATTTTTTTTCTTCTGTTTTTTTCCGGTACCGGGAATCAAACTCATGACCTTGAGCTTGCCAGGAAGGTGCTGTGCCACTGAGCTAAATCCCCAGCATATGTTATATTTATTTAGGCCGCAAGCTTTATGTCCTGAGGGCAACAGTTTGTGAGAAAAGTTGAAGAAAGAGCATATAAATTACCAGCACGGTTACTGACCCTGTCTGGGTTCGAGACACAAACCGAACCTGGGAGAGAATGTGGGGCTCAAATGTGCACACAGAACACACTCCAGTACACAAAGCATTTCCATGTTGTTTTACTTCATCTTCACAACTACCCTATAGGGTATCAGAGAAGGTATTACGCTAATTTTATAAATGAGGGACCTGAAGTAGTTAGGTAAACGGCTCAGGTCTGAAAGGTAGTTGGTGATGAGAGACAGGATTAAGGCTTCCTGGCCATGATACTGCGATGTGCTGTTTTCACCATGCACATGCCTTCTTGGTCCCAAACTGGTACACTTTCCGAATTAGAGGTAATTACGCCTTTTACCTTCCTATCCCTCTTGTTCCCAAAAGAAGATCTTGCCTCTTGCATAGGATGTTTATGTGTTAACTCTTCAGCTATTGTCTGGAAAGAATAATTGGTTCTCCTTAATGTTCTTCAGAGGGAATGCATTTTCCTTTCTATGGGTTTTGAAATGGATGAACCAACCAGTATCATAAACCCCAGAAGAACACTCAGCCTCCAGATGTTGAGGTTTCACAGCATGCACTGCAGAGTATACACTGTACTTCTCCCCTGCCACTACCTCAGGTACCAGCAAACACATATATTACACATGACGTGATGACGTCACAGTGTCCTTCCACCTGACATCACTGCAAGCACTAGAGGGTTAGACCAAGGTAAAATAGTGAAAGGAAGTGATATATGATAAACATATTTCAGGGAAACATCAGTCCCAGAAAAGGTACATCCAAAGAAAATGAGCCAGGAAGATCCTAAAACAGGAAGATGCTAAGTCTAAACTAAGGCAGGGTACACAGTAGAATTTACAGTTTTCACCTCTGATAATCTTAGCAGTAAAATGTCACATATACTTTAGAGTTCCTGAAAAAATAAAACAAAGCAAATTGATGAGCAGGCAAATTGTGTCTTCAGCACATTGCTAGAAACCCAAGAATCACACAGCACACCTGGAGTGGCCATGGCCAGCATAAGCAGTGGTAGCTGGGCAAGACACAGGAGGCCTGGGGAAAGTATACAGAGGCTCCCTAACTGTGTAACCACCTTGTCTGCCCACACTTAGGCCAACTCCCATCATTCAGCTCCTGTAGGCCTCTGTGCATGTTGTAGAAACCATTCCCGTATGTCTAGGCTCTATTTGCCCCTAGTGCTCACTTTCCCCGTACATGGCCATCATGGAGGTCAATAGTACACACACCTAGGGCACTACAGTCCACCCTCATGAAGACAAACTGGGGCTTTGGGAGCCAACTGGCAACTACCTGAACAGTAATTTCAAGGTCCCAGGTCCCTACAGCATGGTCTAGAAGAGAAGTCCAGGCACCACATGGGTATACCCTCTGGGCCAACTCCATTGACTCCTGTCCTGAGCAGATCAACTAGAAGGTATCCCTGAGTGGTATAGGATGAAGCCAGGACCCTGGCTACTTGGGCCTGGTGTGACATTGCAGCTTGGAGTTCTGTTGGCAATAAGAAACCAGTAGGAAATCTCACAAACTCAAAATTCCTCAGAGAGTCTTCACAAGACTAGTAGTTCTGACTGCAGGATCTCTGACCCAGCCCAGCTTCCTACTGATAGGATGAGAAAAAGCAGCACAGAAATTATGCAGAATACAGTTAACATGGGAACAGCCTCATGTCTTTCGGACTTAGACATAGAAAAGGACATGAATTTATTCCACACATTAGTGACTTTTTTGGAAGCATAGCCTGAACTAAATAATTTTCCCAGCTCTGTTATTTCATGTTTTTATTCCCTACTGACTTGAGGAGAAACCTTTAAAGTTTGCATATAGAACAACTATGGGGACAATAGATGCTTCTCTTGGCTCTTCCCTGGAGGTAAAAACATAAAGGCCCAGCTTTATAAAGCCTGCTTAATTTGTTTGTTCGTGGGGGGAATGGAGGTTAATTAATCTAGTTTGGGGACTGCTAGATAATATCTATGTTCAATAGCTTGTACATTATGCTGCCCAATTAATTCCTCCCAAGGACTTTTATACAAGACTATTCAGCTCAAAACTTCAGGCTCGAAACTTTTCAAGGTCTTTGGGGTGACCATTAGAGAAGAACGTGATTCTGAAACTATCACCTTCTTTTCTTCTTTTATCCTGGTGGGAAGCAGTGCTCTTCTTAAAAGGTTAACGAGGTAGCAATCCTTCAGAGAGTGTGGCCGGTACACCCATTTCAATTGCATTTGTGCACTCCTGTTGTTTAATTCTTGGAAGCGCAGTCTGGAGCCTGTGTTCCAAGTCGCCTGCTGGGGTAACCACTGGGGTTTCCTGCAGTAGTTGGCTGGGCCCAGAAATAGTCAGATGCCCTTGGAATCTTTAAACACTTTTCCAACAGAAGGTTTGGCCATTTCTTCTCCCGGTGCTCATTTTAAAGTTAAACACATGAACACACATTTTTCTGAATCCCAGTGAAGACTTTTAATTGATTCCCTGAATATTTTAAGGCCTGTTAATTCCATTGATGTTGCAAACACTGCAATTTATTCCAGCTGCTGTTCTAATCATATTCATTAACGGGCTTATTTTTACCTGCCAGCTAATATTTTACATTACATCAATAAATCTTCAGCTTTCTAGACAAATTGTGTACAAAATAAAATGAATTACCCAGCCCCTGACTGTTCCACAGAGGCTGGGTTAGTCAATGTCCTTCCTTCTGAGAAGGGTTAATCAGGAGTGAATATAAAGGAGATAAACCAAGGAATGCACACACTACTCATTTGTGACACTATAAACACAACATTGAATTATTTTAGATATAAGCCTTGCTTGCATAGTCTACTCATTTTTTATTTTATATTATATAAAGTGAAAAATGCATAATTGGTCACTCTGACATAGACAAAACATTTTGTAGTAGACTAAAATAATTACATACCACTACCCTCTGTAGACTATGATCTTCTTTTTTCAATAATGGTGTTTAATTTGAATTAATCCACCCATAATGCCCTTTTTCATCCTGTGGACAAAATAAAGCAATGGTTCAGAATTAGGTACATATAATGTCTTGTGTAAAACATAGAACAGGTTAATGATCCATGTGGTAAACCAACCTGAGGTCTTTTGGTGGTTCTGTGTGTACTTAAAGAAGGGAAATTAGCCTATCCACAGTTCAGAGTTAGATCTCTCCAGATGAATTGGTAAATTTGTTGTCACAGATAATAAGGAGAGTCAGATAAATAGGGGATTATGAGTGAGAGACAACATGGACTTAACTGGGAGTCTTGCTATATACAATCTGAGATCTTGGTAAGTTAACCTGTGTGAAACCTGCCTTCCTCTTATATGTTGATTATCAAATAAAATCTTCTGTGTAAGATGCTTAATGAAGTGCCTAACCAATGTTAAACCCTCTAAGATGTAAGCTAAAAGCAAAAATTATATTTTATATTCAACTACCACAGCTTGTCTTAAATTGGTTTTTTGTTATAATAGTAAGTCAAAATCCCTTCTACAAGATGCTGGTAACATTACTTCTAACTTTCCACTTCATTATAACACTCTCATGATCCTGCTGTCCTTCTGATATCATCCAATGACTCTTGCACACTCATCTAATTCCAGCCAGATGGGTCTCCGTACTGACTTCAAATACATCTGTAATGATATAGCTCCTAAGTTCATGTAAGGGGTGGGGGATGGGAGAAGACAGAATATTAAAAAATAATCTATCCATAAAGAACAATCAACTAAGAATGGAAACAGGAGCATAAAGCAGTTTAGGTAAGTTAAAAACAAACATAAAATGAGAGATTTAAACCTAAGATTATATCCAGGAATTCTATGCTCCCATTAAAAGATAAAGATAGAATGAACTTTTAAAACATACTACATACTGTTTCTAAGTAATGTAGCTCAATATAAGAAAACAAAAAGTTAAAAATAAAGGGGTGGGAAAAGATACAGCATACAAGCGCTAAGCAAAAGAATGATATTAAACTATACTAATACCAGGTAAGGTAGACCAAAAGCATCGTTGGAGGCAAAGCACATTACCCAAATCTCTAGAGACAAAGAGCAAAACTTGAGACCAGAACTTGTGAAAAGGGTCAGTCCACTTTTAAGTCATTCTTAATTTGTTTTACTTAACGTGAAAGCCTAAAACTACAGAAAGTGAACACTGAAAGAACTGCAAGGAGCAACAGAAAAGCCGATAAGCATAGAGACATAAACACAAGTTTCAGTAAATGACAAAAGTACAGAAAAGATCAGTAAATATTTAGTAGATTTGAACATCTCAATTAACAGACTTTAAGCTAACTGGCTTGTAGAAAACAGCACCCAACAACGTCAGAATACAAATTCCTTCCAAGCAGACACTGAGCACTGGCAAAAATCAAGCACGTGCTGAGCCATCAAGGAAAGTTCAGCAAGTTTCAAAGGATCTAAATCATCAAAATATGTTCTTTGACCACAGTTTTATTAAATTTAAAAACACCACTAAAAAAGATAACTAGATGCCCGGGATCTAGCTCAGTGGCACAAGCACCTGCCTGGCAAGCGCAAGGTCCTGAGTTTGATTCCCAGTACCAAATAAAATAAGATAACCAGAAAACCTCCATATTTGTATGAATTAATAAATGCATTTCTTCTTTTGATTAATTTATGATAGTCAAATTACTATAGGATATTGCTAGGTCCATTCTCAGAGGAAAATGTGCAATATCATTATAAAAGAAGAAAAGCTGAAAATCAATAATCTAAGTAATCTAAGGATGGAAAGAGAGAAAGAGAGAGAGAGGAAGAGAGGGAGGGAGGGAGAGAGAGAGGAGAGAAATTTTTTTTGTTAAATGTGAAAGAGCCAACAAAGAGTTTCTATTCACAATATATAAAACACTTTTCCAGTTCTTCTAACCCATTAGAAAAATGAACAAAAAGATTTCCAGGCACTTCACCCAGAAGATGCCTAAATAAAGCAATATATTCAACTTACTTAGTAATCAAGAAAATTTGAATTAAAATCTCAATTAGAGATGAGTACGGTAGTGCATGCCTGTAATCCTAGCACTCGGGAGGCTGAAGCAGGAGGATTTCTGCAAGTTCAAGACCAGCCTGAGCTACACTGTGAGTACAAGTCCAGGATGAATTATGCAGTGAGACCCTCTCTCAAAAACCCAAAACCCAAACACAACAAAACAAAACCTCCCAATTATATTCCAGTATTTGATAACCATAATGCCTAAAGTTAGAAAAAGATGTGACACTGCCAACTATTTATAAAGCAATGGCAATTTCTATACATGCTGGGACAAATAAAAGTTTGTTAAACAGTTTGGCTTTGTATACTAGAATTGCACATACATAGACCCTTTGAGCCAACAACCACATTCCTAGGGGATATGCATAGCAGCATTATTCAAAATAGCTGAATGCTTAAATTATCCAAACGTTCATTAACAGAAGACTGGATAAATGAATTGGGGTATTTTCACCCAATGGAATAATATATTACAAGTGGCCTTATCTACATTTTCGTGAAAAATATGGTCAGCCCTTCACAGCACAAAAGAATCCAGACACACAAAAAAATATGCACTGTGCAAATCAATTATAAAAATTCAAAAGCCAGAAAAACTAAACTGTGATATTAAAGTCAAGAAAATGCAGGAGAGAAACAGGTGAGCCTTGGGCGCAGAACAGGGCCCCTGGATGCTGCTGGCAACAGCCCCTTCTCTACCCAAGCAGGGGTTACCCAGGTGTTCCACCTGCCGCGACTCACTGAGCCACCCATGTATTTCTGTTCCCTGTTCTTATGAGTACTTCACATAAAAAGAAACTAAAATTTTTAAATAATATCCATAAGCCAGAAATAGTATCTCTAAGAATTTCATCCTTTAGGTATAAAAGCATAATAAAACTTAGGTTTGAGCATTATTTGGGAAGGCAAGAGACTGAAAACAATCTGATGCCCTGTGGTGTGTGCATGGCAGGTCCAATAACTTATACCAGATCCAGGAATACTAAGAAAACTTTGAAGGGGAGCAGAGAATCTCCATGTGTCCTGACATGGGAGAACCTCCAATATATATTCAAGCAAGCCAGCAATCAAAGGAGACGTAGGACAGTGTGCAAAGTACGCTATCATTTCATCTGCGTTTAAAAATAAGGTAAAAGGTATGTGTACACATGTTTTATACATACCTGCTATGCTTCTGGAAGGAAAGGTAAAGAATAAAACCCGGAAATGTGGTTGTCTCTAGAGGGAAGCCAGGAAACAAGATGTCACCGACGCGGAGGAAGTTTTCTTTCCTGGCACTTAGCGGCACTCTGTGAGCTCCATTACATAGAGTTACCTTCCAGATTTATAAATAAAAAGGCTTTATATATATATATATACAAAATTGAAATGATTTTTGGAGATTTTTTTTTGCTGCTTTTGGACATTTATGTATGTGTACCAAAATGGCCTGTCCTTTGGGAACTGACAAGGCCTCGGGTGGACAGAAGAAACAAGGGCCCATGATCAGTACAAAGGGCAGGTGAGAACCAAGAGAGGGGCAGAGACATGTTCCACAGATAGTGCAGGATGAAGAAAGGGTTGCCAGGCTGAGCAGAACCTGCAGCAGGGATGACGAAGCTAGAGAAGAAACCACAAAGCACAGGTCAGGAGAAGATAAAAGTAAATGCAAAAAATGCAAAGGACCTGAAGAAGGAAGCCCACGCACCCAGGGGAAGAAATGCTGATGATATTCACTGCCTGCTCTCATGAGCCTCGTACTGCCGGCAGAGTTTAAAGGACCAAAGACAAGAAGACACTATGTTCTTACCAGTTTAATCGTACTTATCCATAATACGATTAGTTCAGAATGAAGTCTTTGTCTCCTCCACAATACCTATTCATAGTGTGTGCACACAAGATCTTAAAAAGGAGCTGCTGATTCCCCCTGCTTTCTAAAGCATAAAAACATAACCTTTCCCCTGAGTAACTTAACAGGTTTGCATAGTCTGCTCTTCGGCAGGCCAGAGCCACTGGTTGATGGGGAAATGAGTGCATAAAAAAAAAAAAAATCAGCCTTTGATTACCTTTGTGTCCCTGACCTGATCACTCCATGGGGGTTTCAATCACATAGTTCACACGATTTCCTTTAAACTGCCATCAGATGAACATTTCCCCTTTAAAATTTGTTCAAGGGGTGCGTCTTTGCAAAGATGTATTTGGGAATCAGATGTCACTCTTAAGCGTTCAGGTGCATCAGTCTCCAGGACCCTGAAGACTCCCACAAGGGCAGAAAATTATGTCAGGGAAGCAAACTGAATAGGGAGACAATGCCAAGGCCACCAATTTGAAGGAGATCCATTTTCCAAATTATCTTCTAGCCAACAGAGTCCTTTTGCCATTTAACACATCTAAAGCTTCTCTATGGTTGGTGCCAAGTTTATTCTCAGCACAGTTTTTTTGTAAATCACATCCAAAATATGATTTGGACAAAAAATGCACCTTCTTATGAGCCCACTGTGTACTTCAAAGACCCAGTGCACAAATCATTTGCACCTGTACCATTTCCATCCAGTTCTAAGCTAATTTTAAAAAGGCTCTGAAAGCCTGCCAACAGCACATGTGCACAGAAGATAAAATGTAATAGCAATTAATCCAATCATCTCTGATTTAACGTTAATTTAACCCAGTGGATTATGCCTTGTTTTGTGTGCAACTGTGTTGATCCTGCTACATTTCAGAGAGCCCCCAAATCAATCAAGTCACAATCCCTAATTGCAGTCAAAATGGGGAATTCCACTCAGCAGGGCCCTTCTCCAGAGTATCTGTTCCTCCCAAGGAAGAAAGGGAAGTCAAAGAAGGAGGCGTCTCTAATAGCAGGCTGCTAACATGCAGCTGATGGTGTCAGGGCTAGCCCTGAGGAGTGGCCTACTGTTTGCTGGCATATTCAACTGCCTCAGGGCTTCTTGCCAGAATGAACAGGAAAGGGCTATCAGAGAGGAACCAGTGGAAGCATAGCTGCTGCGTAAACTACAAACAAACAACAACAACGTGAAAAATTTGGGGGGCACGGTGTTTCCCTTTTCTTTTGCTTGCAGTATGGATTGGATGACTGTGGCAGTTAAAGACCTGAGTTAGGACAGTTGTAATTAAAAACTAATGCCATGATACCCCCCTGGGTCTGATTTAACTAGGTTAGAGTGTCAGTCAGCATTCTTGGAACCAAAGGCTGATTGTGAGAACATCTGTAGTTCATAAGCAAAGAATAGAAAATGTTTCACGTTACTATTTTCCTCCTATTTGGGTTTTATATTGAAAACTGAAATCATAAAAGATATTACCTGGGCTCAGGACAGCCACTGAAGTTCAATTGTAGTTCAGCCTTAGTTAAGGATTAGTTAATAGATACTTCACAGAAAGTACTACCATGTTCTTTTTCATAATTTTTCTCTCCCCTCCTCCCTTCCTTTGCAGCTGAGAATAATTAACTGTTCTTTTGTGAGTGTCATTTGTTCTCAAGGAATTAAATGCCACCTTATTTCCCAGAACAAGAATTCAACTGTCATAATTATAGCTTCATTTCAGAAGCGAAAAAAAATCATAATTTATTACAGATTGTTCAGCATGTGAGATAGGTTTAAATGTCACTGGAAGTAAATTGTGGCATGTCATGAAGGGGTTTTAGCCACCGCTGTAATTGATTTATAATTTCACATTTAAAATGAACAACATTCACCCATTGTTCTTGTATTATATAACTCTTGACATCAGTCCCTGGAGAATGAGGCATTCAACTTGGTCAATACACAACAATAACAACAACAATAATAACAATAGCAATGATACACCAATTTTAAAGATAAGCACTGATATTACCATAAGCACTAAAAACATGTGTTAAAATGAAAACTCCAACTCCATAATAGAAAGTAAAAATGTATTTCAGAAGAATGCATTTTGGATTATTAACACTGAACTCCATAAAATTACGATTCTCAGGGGTCTTAGTGTAACTCACAAAATTAAGAACCATCAGAAATAAGGTTTGAACTATTCTCTACCCACAGTTGTAAGGAAGGAAACAATAATTGGAGAAGGTGGAGATGAATTTTTCCAGTTCTAATTTCAAGTAGACTGAGAATCAATTCCACTTTAATAGTACTTTATTGGGTTTTTCATGTGACCATAGTACCTTAAGATCACATAGTGTTGATAGGGCTTTGGGTGGAGGAACTAATAAATACTTGATTACACCATGAAGTAGCTATAGGTCCATTTTATGCAAACGTAAGTGGGTTCTGTGATGGCTCAACAACCACGAAATCACATCTATGGATGCAGCCCCTTGGATTTGGATCTAGGAGAAGCAAATACAAACACACAGGATGATAAGGACGATCTGTATGGCAAAGCACAGATGTAATCATAAATGTCCTCATAAGAGGAGAGTAGAAAGGGTTTTGACTGCAGGAGAGGAGATAGCCATGTGACCACAGCAGCATATAATTCTGGGACTAGACTGGAGTGATGGAGCCAACAGTCACGGATTTCCAGTAGCCTGTAGAGGTGAAAAATCTTCTCCCCTTGAACCTCCAGTAGGAGCCCAGCTATGCAGCATCTTACTGTAACCCCATAAAATTAATTTGCCAACTTCTGACCTCCAGAACTGTAAGAAAACACAGTTGTGCTCAATTTCTGGCACTCTATTATAGCAGCAACAAGAAGCAAACATAAAAGGGAAACAACCTGATTCATTAAAAAGTTTGACATGAGATCAAGTTGTCTCCCTTTGCAGGAGCACACAAGGAGTCAAGTGCATTCTGGCTTTGGGTTGGGGCTTCTCCTTCTCTGAGTTCCTATGCTGACCTGCTGAGGGACTGCAATCCAAGGATCTGACAGCACTGCCCATTTAAGACAGGAGTAAATGCTAAAATTGATTTAAAAGAGTCACTCTTTGGATTATTAAGTGAATGTAATACTTTAAAGTTAGCTGCAATTTTATTTATGGCTTATACAAGAGAAATTGTATTTATTTAAAAACACTAATGTACTGTAAGTGTTCCAAAATATACGACTTGTAACTTTTCCAAATAACATTTCTTGACCTGGTAAATGATTGCTCTGGAATTGCTACTTGGCATTCGATGAATATTCACGATGAGTCAGATTTACAGTGCAAATTTTAGACCAGTTTTTGAAATAATTCTTTAAATCTTCCATAGTTTAATAAACTATGGAAATTATGCATATAATACTTTGATCTGGGGTCACTGAATAGTAATTTCTTACTATAAATTTGTTTGGAAAATATTTCATTCACTTACCATGGTATCATCCAGCAGTTTTTGTAACTATGTCTATCTCGCTTCACCCCTACCCCTGGATCTAAGACAGGCACCACTAGACTTTAGTAATTAAAAATATTGTCAATCTGTCTTCTGGAAAACAAGCAAGACTCAGTCTGGAATCAAATATTCATGGCAAGATGAGCCTTATCTCTCAAGCATCATTCCATGAATTAATTCATTCACTCAATAAGTATCTTTGCAGTATGTAATCTGTGCAATGTTACGGAGTGAGCTAGAAAGGTAACACTGAAAAACTCTATCCAGTAAATACAGACCTATATTAGATAATGACTACCACGGGGACAAATCAATTTACATAATTTATCAAACATACCTAAGAGAGGCCAGGAGTAGTGCCACATGCCTGTAATCCCAGTACTCAGGCAGCTGAGGCAGAAGGATCACCATGAGTTTGAGGCCAGCCTGGGCTACACAGTGAGTTCAAGGCCATGCTGAACTACATAGTGAGGCCCTGTCTCAAAAGCAAAAACAAAAACATATCTATGAGACAATTATTATTACTTCCCACCACAAATAAGTCAGTTGACCCAGAGGATAAGAAATTCAAACAACTTTCAGAAGTACTTCTTTGGAAAATCCTTAATACACAGGCTTAGCACAGTTTTTTGTTGGTATTATTTTTGCTTTTTCTTTATTTATTTGTCTGTTGTGTATAGTACTGGGAACTGAACATGGGGCTTTTGTACTGAGCTACATTCCCAGCCATTCCCAGCCCTTTTCTTTCCCATTCCTTTTTTTTTGTTTTTTTTAAGACACATTGCCCAGGCTAGATTTGAACTTGACATACTTCTGTCTTTGCCTCTCACAGTGCTAGGATCCAAATTCAGTTTTAATTACACAGAGCCTATGGTCTCAACCTACCTGACAAGATTAAAGAAATGACTTTCTATAAAAAATAGATGTTGATTGCACTTCCTAGGTGACCACAGGAAGACTGTGAGAAAGGTTGTGAGCAAAGGAAGGAATCGGGCACCTGCAGATGGAGCTACGGATCATTTCAGGAAGATGAAAAACTTCAAAGGCACCAAGGTGGCATTAAGTTTGCGTCCCTTCAAAACCCATGCATGAAACGCTAGCTCCCAAAGGGATGTATTAGGAGGAGGCACCTGTAGGAGGTGAGGACATGAGGATGGAGCTCTCATGTATGGCATCAGTGCCCTTGCAAAAGAGCAACTATCTCTGATTGCAGACTAGTTGGGGAAGTAGGGCATGCACATATTGATAAATGCTCGCAAGCAACTCATTAACATATTCAAATTATTATCAAGCATTAAATATTCCAATCATAAAAACAATAATAGCTTTTAAATAATTAATATCACAAAATGTCAGAGATGAGCAAACAGAGCAGTATTCTAAATAAAATCTTTGTTGTTTCTGAAATATAACACCTCTGCTTTTTAAATCAAAAAATAATGTTCTTTTACAAAGTTCTAGGCTGTTGGGTCAGAGGACAGAAAAGCTCCTGCCCTCCAGGAGTTTATACTCCAGTCGGGAGTGTGATAAACTACATGATTGTTCAGTGTTTGCTGCTTTCTTTCCCAGGGAAGTACAGTATAGTATAGCTACACTTAGGACTCATTTTGTTAAAGCAATGTTTGTAAGCAGAAGCGTGAAAGACAGATGTGCATTTTGCCATGGTGTCTCTTCTTCCTCTGACAGGAGCCCAGCAACGTCCTAGAGGAAGGGTGGCTGCTGTCCATCCGCTTAGGTCCTGACAAAGAGCAAAGTCACAGGCAGCTTCAGATGAACAGGTAACATGAGCAAGTACTAAACGCTTGTTGCTGTAAAGCCACTGATGTACTGAGGTTGTACCGAGGAGGTACTGAGGTTGTGACCTAAGTGGACTGATAAAGCCAACTAAGATGAGAGCATATATATCCATATTATAACATCAGGCCCATCATGAAATACAGGATTTCAAAGAGAAAATTTTAATGTATAGATGACACCATATCTACCCAGACACCAAACATTCTCCTCTCTTTCCATTTTTGCTTTTATTTACTTTTGATTTAGCACTGAGTAAAACAAAGACTTGATAATCAGCCAACTCTCATTTCCTCCCTTGCATGTGACTCTCAGTCCTTACTAGCTCTAAAGGTCTGTTGTCCAGGGCCAGCTGACATGTTGCCAGGCCAGGGAGTAAGCCCCTTACTCCACACAGGCTCTCAAGCAACCAAGACTCGGGTGTGGAAGGACAGCCCTGCTCTCAGGGGGCTCATCTTCTAGGGAAGGCACAGGCCAGCGTCACACACCATAAGGACACGAGGCCTTCTACAGAGTTCAAGAGGCACAGAGGAGAAAGATCTACAGGAACCTAGTGACGAGAAGGTGGAGATGGCAGGGTCAGGGTGGAGTGAACTTGATGCTGAAAAAAGAAGTGAGAAGTGTGAACCTTACAAAAGCACTGAATAGCAATGGGGCGGCATGGGGGTCCCCAGCAAACACAGGGTTGGGACATAGAGAGAGAGCAAGATGAGATGCCCTCATGCTAAGAAGTTTAGATTTCATTTTACAGGGAACTTGATGTCACTGAACACTTTCCAGCTGGGGAATGGCACAGTCAGAATGATGTTTGGGAAACAATTTTCTGGTAGCACTGGGAAGGAGGGCTCTGAGAGGTGCTGGCCACTCTTGATCAAGAGATGTTGGTTGAAAAGCTCTTGCCCCCTAATTCTGACCAGAAACTGTGGCTTTGGAACTCACAGGATCTGTTTCCTGCTCTGTAATCTGGGGGAAGCAGAGCTTCTCAACATCATTTAGGAAGGGAATTAGCTCATAGCTAGTGAACTGCAAAGCCAGCAAGGAAGCACCAGATGCTTTCCTGTTTCTGCTCTGCCTTATTCGACACCTTTGAATGTTTTTTCATTTTGTATTTTTTATAATTAAGCTCCAAACTCGTAACTTGATTAGTTGGAAAATTAGGCTAACCTTTTCCCCCAGGTCCCTTTCTCCATTCACAGAGCACATAGATATATTCCTAATAAGTGTGTTAATCATATGCCCATTCCAGAAATATTTATCCCATACCCATTATGCCCCAAGCACTTTATTAGGGGCTCCATGGATAGGATAAACAAAAGAATATCCGTGCTTCACAGAGCTGGCAGTTTAATGCAAGATGTGATAAATACATGAACAAATAAATAATTACAAAATACAAAATCTCTAAAAATAAATGGCACCAGAATGCTGCCCTCTAGAATAGCAGTAGTGCTTTTGTACACACAGAAATGTCCTAAATGGTTCACCCAGGAGAAGCAGTCAGATGAGTTGAAAGTATGGGTATATTAACACTTAACTTTTATCAGAAAAATTCAGGAATAGCATTGGTACCTCCAAACTGTACTCAAAACGCTAGCATAAAAATGCTAGATCACATCTTCAAACAGCAAGCAGGTCATTCCAGAGGCAGGGAGTGGGAGACTGGGATTGGGGAGCCCTAGACAACAGAGAAGTTTGCCACTGTGGGCTTCATGAGGCCCGTGAAAGTTCCAAGGAATCTTGGGGAGAGGCTCAGTGGAACACCTCAGGGTTGATTCAGCCCTCGTCAGTCTGGTTTGAGGCTACAACTGGGCTGGACCTAGATAGGCTGATGGACCTTAGGCTGAGTTCTAAAGTTGTGTTGACTTGCAAAACTCACAATTAATTTTTATGATGTCCAGCCAAAAATTTTTATTATTTCTTCTTTTTTAAAATGTCACCTGTTAAAGAAAAACAAGAAGGTTATGCATTAGTTAAAATTTCTCCCAAATGATAGCTCCAAGACTAAAATCCCCGTATAACTCACCCAACAGCTCTCGTGTTGGGCCTTCTGAAGTAGGTTTCTGACAGAGCAGCTCTTGCCACCTCTCTGTGAAGCAGCTAGGTCCAGTTCCGATGGGGACCCACGGGAACCAGGGCTTTACTGCAGACTGTGCAGTCAGTTGACAGTGAGGCTCTGGCTACCTGTCCACAACCAGGAAGCCAATAATCACTTTCAGGCACAAACCAACAAGACTGGGTTCAAAGCACTGGCTGGTAGGTAAAATGTTCTCTACTTTATCATAGCTCTTCATGCTCTCATCTGTCATAATTTCCCAGGGCCCAATAATTTGATAAAAGAGATTTGATTAAGTGCAAGATTTATGAGGTTGCACACTGAGACAAATTGTAATTCAATAAAGGCCCATTCTGGAAAAGAGGAAAAAAGACAAACCAAAGTCTTTATTCCTATAGCTACTCCTCTACACAGGAATATACGCACATACTCACACATACTGTTTGGCAACTTATCACTCTGCAAAACGAATGACAGTTATTCACTGTAGGCCGTTAGCAGACATAATCGGACATTATTATGGCAGTGATCAAAAATCATCTTCCTTTATGGTTATTAATCAAAAATTTATTTCCCATTGACTAACCCCAGGAAAAGGTTATTGTCTACTTTAGTCTGTACTCATTTCAATACTAATAAGAGATTCTTTTCTCTCCAGTTCTCAGCAATGCAGAATTACCATCATTCCCAAGACCTCTTTGGGTTCCTTGACCAGAAGAGGCGTTTAAGCTATGTCATCCATGATGTATTGCACATTTAATTGCACTATGCAGCTATTCAAAAAGCATTCAGAAGTAATCATTTAGCATTAATATCCCAGGGCAATCCAAGGTCACAGTACATTAAAAACTAATTCACAGAGGTTCAAGAATGCATTTTTTATCTGTGGAGTAACATAATTCTTTTATGATAAAAGTGATAGTGGTGTTACAGTGATGGGATACAAGATATTCTGAATATCCATCATTAGATCTATTGTACAAATGGCAAAGTCAGGCCTTTGTTCTCGTAACTCAACACACCACTAATCTGTATTAACACTGCTGACCATGTTAACCTTTTATATGACTGACCATGCTTTAAGGAGCAACAGCCCTCACCTGTTATCACAGACAATGGAAGCACTTATGAGTTACCATGATAATTTTACTTTTAGACTGTGTTGTATGTTATTTTATCTGGTCATTCTAACATCTAAAATTACATAATCTCTATGGATCACAGGGATTTTTTTCATGAAAGTTGTCCATATGTGTGTTTGTGTTTGTGTGTGTGTGTGTGTCCTATCATCTTTCTTCCAGGAAAGCTGTGGGAGATAAAATTATTGCAATTTGCATCAAACATTTATCATGCAGAAATAATGGCGTCCCAAGGCAACAGCACTACATACAATGTAGAATGGGCAGGCTGTACTCTCCAGAACCTATCACCTCTCATACTCATAACAATAGCAATGCTGTACTACAATTTTCTGCCGTCCAGCAGGCAACATATTGGGAGTTATTTCAACTTTTCACAGGCAATATTGTCAAACTGGTTAATACGCTAAGCTCTGCATTCAAAGAGACCAGGTTCTGC